TGAATTCCAACCATTATTCAGGTCGCCATTCTCGGGTAGGGCTCTTCCAGTTTTGCCCCCGTACGCAATGTGATTCTCGACGCAGAACGTTTACAACGATACACACCTTGTCACTGGCGATGCAAGACTTCAGGTACTATGTGTTGCGTTTCGGAAATTTCGAGGGACTGGATTCCATGTTGTGAGTCTCAGTCCACGAGATAAGCTAACCAACCGTCTCTGACGTTTTATAAGCTGGGAAAGCTATGTCAGATTCGCCTCCTTGGGGCTGGATTGCTGTACTCATCCAACGGGCAGGTCATGATATGTTCGATAGTGGGTGATTCAGTCTTTCCGACTACTGGTTCAAGACCTATATCAATTAGTTCGTGGTTGCATTTGTGGCTCAAATGTACGCCTTGCAATGCTCTCATGCACTACTCCGGGGAAGACACTTATCAAAATTGCAGGTTCTATGCCAGTCGAATCTGGATGCGTAAATTGCCATGTCCCTAATCCGTGCGCAACTATATTCTGATCAAGGCGGCAGTAAAACGAGACTGGCGATATGTTACGCCCGTGGTGTGTTCCCTCTTTTTCTTTGGCTACCCGAAGTTGAGATTGATGCGGCGTAGGTTCTACTGGCTCTCCTGCAACTCTGTGAGCCAACACTGAAATACAACAGAGCGTTAAATAATCTATCCCGCAGCATTTGGCATCGGTATGTCCTACACTTGAAGTCAACTTTGACTTACTGAACAATCGTTCCGTAGCTCAAACCGCTAAGATGTATGTTCTCATCCGTCAGCGAATGACCAGCATAATCGCCCGCCCAGAGTTGGACTGCATCGGTATTCCAAGCTTGCGACCACAGTGGTGGGTATAAAGACTTTGCTTTCTCGAAACTGTCACGAGCATACCACAGCCAACAACGGCGGCCCAGGGAGCGGCCACTGCCGCCTGCGATATAACTATAACTGCGATTCTCGGTTACATTTTTCGGGCTGCTCGGACCGGCGTGCGCAGGTGCGTAGACTTTGACCTCGATGACGTTAAATCACGAGTGCTACAGGACTGATTCTACATTGGACAAAATGATCCTTTACGCTTTTGAACGGGGCACTATGACCAGGTGACTATTATATGTTCATATTGGGAAGTCAATGTTCAACTTTGGCAATTGTTTAGTCTTCTTGCGCTGCTCCAACTAATCTTTGTATGTCATTGATTTTACGGCCCAAGCCTGTTGTCAAATTCTGTTATTGTCCAGTTTATCACGATGCCCGGGACCTTTGTTTTGTGAGTCTGTGGAAGTTCCTTCTCAAGCCTGTGTATCACTCACAAGCCGAATAGCACCGTGTTCCTTTTTCCGAGCAGCCACGGTACGCCTGAGTCCTTCCTTTATTACCGAAATTCTGATCCCCTTCTCTTCTCAAGTCTATGTGATCTCGGTTTGCGGCATGTGCATACCCGTCTATTTCTGCCATCGCAAAACCGTTTTGAGATATCCCAGGCTCACTTCTCGGCAGCGGCTCGGGGCCCAGCTGCGCAATCGCGAGGGGATTATTGGCCTGAGATCTATGGGGACGAATTCAGTCCATACCCCCGCTTCGGAGAATCTAGGTGTTCATGTGGTGAGCGTGCATTTCCGCCTCCATATTCTCGTCCTTATTACGGCGCCCAGACCAAATCCGTGATCAAGTGGGTCGGCAATGAAGTTTCGGAGTCAGAGAATTGGTATACCGGTTCATTTTTGCATCTCGAGGTGCAGTAGGCTGACAAGATATTCTGCCGATCCAGAGATGCCACGTTATCACTGAGTAGTCACCCGCTGTTGGACAGTTCAGGCTCCTTATATCTAGTTCAAAGTCCCATCTGTATCCATATTTTATATCAGTTCAAAGTCCCATCTGTATGCATATTGGGCGCAAAACATTTACCCTTGATTCTTGTACGTACTATATCAGAACCCAACCTTGAACTTCAGCACGCAAAGTACGCAACCTCCGAGCAAGGCCTGAGGGCGAAGTGGTCCTCATCTGCGAAAATTGGGGACTGTTTACCGCATGCCATTCGACTCGGGCTCCAGCCGCATTGATTTTGAGCGGTTTTTCCTTTGTTCTGCTCCGAGAGACCGCTTGCAATGTTCTCGTCGTTCCCTGTGTCTATCTCCGTCACCGCGCCGTTTTCTTGCGCCGTACAGTCACGGTTCCAGGATATACCTATTTTCTCACGGTTCAGATAGCTTCTCACGGTTCGAATCCGATTCTGTGCGCTCTCGAAACTCAGCTTGGCCAGACATTGGCTCGAAGGCGGACATAGACATCGTTCCAACAAGATCCCCTCCTTTCCGACTGATCTTCTGTACATTGTTTGTAAAAACAATCGTGTCTACGAGGACATGCCTCACGCCTGATTTGAACAGGCGGCGAATGTCTATCTACCGCTCCCCATTGGAAACAGATGTGGCCACCGAGGATTCATGATCAACCCACCGAGGCTAATCAGAGCTTGAGAATCCGGGAGGTCGCAAGTGCTGTTGCGTTGTTGGCCGCACCAGATGGCCGATTCACAGTCTGAGATAACGCCAAGTTGCCGACGAGGAATTCAAGTGAGCGAGGCCGAGCCCATCCGTGCAGGAGATAGTGCTGGCCACGCCCATAACGGGAGCTATGGTTCTGGAAACGAGAGGTCGCAGCCGCGTTGTCACATTTCTCTTGCTCTCAAACCCCAACGCCACTGAGCTCTGCGTTTCAGGCACATTCCAATGAACAAGGCTCAAGAGCGGAGTGGTCCGCATCTGTCCAACATGAACCGAATTTCGGACTTCGTTATCCAGGGAACCCGTTCGACTCGGGCTTGGGCCGTAGTAGCGAGTCGTGGTGCGTTAAATTTTTGGGTCCCAACGCAGTGTGTTGGCGCCTCTCTACGGCAATTGAAGGCTAATATTGATAAGTCATTGGCTAGCAGTGATACGATTGGAAGAGGCCATACAGGTGTGAATATATACTACATACAATGTCCCCAAGAGAATCTGCGAGGAAAGTCTGTGTCCGTGTCCGAAATCCGAATATTGTCCGTCTGTATACAGTGTACACCCCGCGCAGAACCGTCATTTTGAGAGACGGTCATTCAAAAAAGCAACGCAGCCGCGGCGAACGCAGCGAGCGCGGATGCGGGGACGCCGAAGGAGGATGAGGGGGCGCCGTTGGTGGTTGAGGAGGACGATGGGGCGGAGCTGGATGCGGAGCCCGAGCCGGAGGAGGAGGGGGCGGTGCTGTGGAGCGCGGTCAATCGGGGAATCGAGAAGATTCGAATAGGACAGGTGGGACTTGAAGGTGGCGGGGTAGAGTAAGGGAAGAGAAATAACAGCAGGACTCACGCAGATGCCTTACTCGCACTCGCACTCCCCGTCGCGCTTCCAATCGCACTTCCACTTGCGCTCGCGCCAACTCCGCTGGCCGATCCGGTCACACTCGCGCTCGCGCTTGTGGCAGCAGCGATCGAGAAACTGGGACTGGTGGCGAACACATCATCGATATTGGTGACGTTGACAAAGGTGAGTGTGTAGTTGTCTTCGGCGGGCACGGGCGGGATTACGACGGTCGCATTGTTGTCCGCGGGGTTAACATTGTTCGCGATCGCAAAAGCTGAGTTCTGTGGCAAAAATGTCAGTCGACTAGCTTATCGTATCCCAGAAAGTGACACGCACAAAGGACGGGTGATTCAGCTCGATCGAGAAGACGCTGGTCAGAGGTGTGTTGGTCACGGTCGGGAATGACAGAGCGCAAGGACGCACGGGTCGGTGGAGGTGCTGCTCCAGGTGATGCTCGTGGTACCACCGGAGGTCGGAGTCGTGGGGGCGTTGATCGTGAGCGCGAGGGCGGAGGCGGCGCCAAGGGCGAGGGTGAGGCTGAATCGAGCGAGCATCACGACACACGACGGGGAACGAGGGCGAGAGCGAGCAGAGGCTGGAGATGGTGGCGAGAAGGAGGGGCGACGTGGAGTGGCGGAATAAATAGCAACCCGGAAAACATGTGGATTGATACTTCGCACGACGTCAGGAATAAATTTGGAACGAAGCAGAACATTCCAGACCACAGCCCTGATCCCTACCCGAACGTTCGTCTTTCCCGCCGCTGCTGCGGAAACGGAATGCCTTCAGGTTGTGGTCAAACGACGTGCATGCGCTGCGACGAAGATTACAGTTTTAGGCGCCGCGTCAGCGTCTAATTTTTCAACCAAAAAATACAACCATGATGGGATCAGATGGGCTGTGCAGCGGTTTCCCATCGGCTGTTCCGCTTTCCCACTGCTCGGCCTCGGATCTTAGACCTCGACTCTCGGAGACTCTTCTCTTCCCTCCGCGTAGGTACTTATGTCCTCCAAAAGCCCTGTCATGACTAGTATAGCAGTAACTGTACGAGAAATGCTTCACACAGACTTCAGGCACCTGCCTCAAGATATTCCCGCATACCGCTCTCTATGGCTTGAGAACGGGTGCCAAGTTCAAAACCACTCGGATCTGGCGCACGGCCTACAGCAATACAGCTCCTCTGCGCCGCTTGATTTCCGTCGTCGAGGACCTTGGCCAGCATCCGACTTGCATCCGGGTATGACCGCCGGTATTTTTCTTTCTCTCTCTCTCTTGTCACACATTTATCGGTGCGATGCATAAGACGGGTTAGTGAGAACCCCCGGGCGTGCCAATTGTAAGTATAGCTCAGGGCTGTTTTGTTTTTGAATCTGGGTGCCTTGTAAAAATCTGGAGGACTCATCGAGGTAGGGAAGCCGGACTATAACTCGGGCGTGGTACACGGTGTACTGTGGCTGTGAATATGAAAGAGTATCTGGGTTTAACTCCGGGCGTTCGCCGATTGATTCACCATCGCTATCTTTTGCACCTCAAGTCGAGCTGCAAGTGGCTGTCTTTTTTTGTATCACCCTCAGGGTGAATGCATGAAATACACGGCCTTACCTGAGTACTTGCATTAGGCGAAGCGCGCTTCTGGGAGTATAACTCGGGCGTGGTGCACGGCGCACACCTGCTCCATGTATGATGTAATCATTTTCGGGATTAACAGACAGGAGACCCGGGTTCAACTCCCGGCGCCCGACGGTCGAGTACTTTTTGCTAGCGATCGCAGGTTGACAACTCGCCATGGCCGCTCAGTATGGACTTACAAGATCTCTTTTTCTTTGTGAGTTTCGTCTCGATCAATTTTTCTCAAGAAGGGGTTTCCGGGAAGTACGGCGGAATAGAGTTTGGTTATTGTTCATGGTGAATATTTGGCAATAGCTCATTAGTTTCGCTGATGGACTTCAGTGGATACAAGCCCCGAGGTGCACCCAGCGTGGCACCATTCCAGAAGCCAAATTTCGCACAATGACTCCCATTCGAATCGGGGCGGGGCATTACTGATTTTTCCCCCCCATCGGGACTCGCTCTCCTCACAAATACCTGGAACTGGCGGGTTCGTCTCCTTCAACTCCTATTGACCGCATTATTTTGAGTGGATCCTGCGAGGACTGTTTGCCGGATAATTCTATTTGGAAACCCGGCTTCCAGTGGAAGCCCCGCCTACGAAAGTTTAGTTATTTGGAAACCCGGCTTCCAAGGGTTGCCCAACAATTTTGATGCCGGCCGGCAACTCGGCATAAATTCAACCTTTGCACTTTGGTTTAAATATGAAAAGTAAGAATTTCCCCCTCCATGCGTAAGGCCTTCCAGACTTGGAGGCATGATCCAACAAAGCTTCCACCTTCCACCTTCATGTGAGCACCGTGTGTCATGCGAGATACCGCCATTCGGCCGACATGAGTACAGAAATTCAGTCTGTCCAAGCTGCGATCCTGGACCTTGCCCGAGCCTTGTATGTGAGCAGAGCCGGAATGGAATTGTAATTGAATGTGGCAACACTACCCAAAGGCATCATTTCTCAGTTGTGCCCGTTGTTCAGTACAGTAACAGTTCAGATGCCAAAAGTTGCCCAAGTCCGCACCGGGGCGACAGGGGACTTGAGGAGCATCCAGAAAATCAACAGAAGCAGGGTTAGGTATGGATGATTCTGCGGCGTGACCATTGGCAGCACTCGCATTGTGAGCAACCAGTTGAACTTGAACTGGAATGTGGTGTGTACTGCTTCCCCTCTACGATTCACTCCTTCACAGAAGCAGCTGTTCACGAATGGCTCACTGCTGGTGCTCAAAAAATCAAGCACTGTGCGTAGAAGTCGTGACTGTACAGTAAATGACGAAAACTATTATAAAAAACAATTGACAGCCGTGAAGTTTTGAACTCCGCCGCAGCGCGGCTGTGATGGCCGGGGGGTTTCCAAATAGACAATTTGTCGGGTTTCTCGGCAAGGCGGGGCTTCCACTGGAAGCCGGGTTTCCAAATAGAATTATCCCTGTTTGCCCGTTCAACTTCTCCTGTGATTACTGGGAGCCCCATCAATTCATTTCGATGTTCAATCTCGGGCGACGGACAGTATCGATTTTGTTCGCATGGATAGCTCCGAGGCGTTTGGGGGTACGTAGAGCGTTGCTGTTGCCTCGACGAACCTTGCATCATTTGAAACAGCGCGATTGGGTGGAGAGTCAAATCCAGGATGGAAGTTGGATTTGCACAGGCTCGGTTGCGGATGGTCCGCACCTGCTATGAATTGAGTATTGCGCAGGATGGTCCGTTCGATTCGGGCCCGGGCCATGCGTTTGGCATTTTTTTCCATCGAGGGTGTCATGCGCCTTATCTGTTATTCGATCCCAGGCGGATTGGGCCAGGGTGCATGTTCGATTTCGCTCAACCCGGTCGAGAGATATGAGTATGCAAGACGGACTAATAAACTTGTACAACAAACTGAGCCGATAACTCCAAGCAGCGGGCTGACCTTGGCGGTACTAGCACTAGCTCGGTCGCGGGAGGTCCGCACCTGCTTCGTATAGCAGATTAGTTATGTATATATTATACGCAGGACGCACCTGTTCGATTCGGGTCCGAGCCATGTTCGCCTTGAGAAGCGACGATTTTTTTATCTTTGTGTCGCGCAAGTTCATCATATCAAACTGAGTCAGGCGGATCGTGAGCTTCGACTTGATGGATGTGTATGAGAGAGAAAGCGATGGACTTGTTGTGACCAAGTTGTGCAACAAACTGAACACATGTACACAGACCTTCCCTGTCACTGGCTCGGTTGCGGATGGGCCGCACCTGCACTCCGTCATGTATTGCGTGTAGCCGGTTTACGCAGGACGTATCTGTTTGATTCGGGTCCGAGCCATGTTGACTTGACGCGCGGGTTTATTTTTTTCTCGTTCTGATTGTGGTAGTGAGTATTAGTTGAACTGCAGAAGAAGGACTCACATCTACCACCGGGAGCAGCAAGAGTTGCTGCACTGTTTCTTGCAGCTGCATTGAACTTCGAAGCACGAGTTCAGGACGCGAGTTTCCCCCTCGGGCTCGAGAACTCAACCGTGCGGGCAAACCGACTTACAGAGACGCCTCGTACGAGCCGTAATGTGGATGATAAATTATCATCGGTTTCAAGTCGCGGTCCAGCGTCAACATGGGCATCTTGGATCTAAATCTGCAGTTACTAAGAACATATCCATAACACGGATCTACTGGCGTAAAACATGAATAGTTTCGTTCGGGTTTGTGTAGTCACTCTTCTCCACTATGGGTAGGTTTGGAAGTGCAGTACTTGCCTGGTCCAGGAGCTTGTCCCAGGCCTCGCCCACATTGAGGTACGGCATGGTGAACTCGACGCGTTTGAGGGCAGGTAATACCGCCAGCCATGGTACGAGCCCGTCCATGCAAGCAATATCCCATCTGCTGATGACCTTCACAGACGAGACGCACAGCAACGATCGCGCAATTGCTTCCTCCTCCTGGTTCGGTTGGTGAGTGTCCGGGAAGGTAGCAGAGATTTCGAGGGTTGTGTCCTCCGCTCGACGGGCGGCGATTTGCCGTAGTAAGGCCCTGTGATTTTTGAGTTCGGTTTTCGAGGCTCCATCGGCTGGAAATTCTAAGCTGATTGTCTGTCGCTCTGAGGGACGGATCGCATCGAGCAACGCGCTGAGGGCTATTGTGCTATCCGAACCGAGGTATTTCAGGCCCGGTAGATTAACCTGGGGAGTTGCCAGGATACTGGGTTGAGATCCCGAGTCAAGACCTGAATAACGGAGCTTTTCCAGAGTCTCGTGGCGCATTAAAAATTGACCCAATATTTCTGGGTCAATTTCTTCTGTGTGCAGAACAAGGGAACGGAGATGACGTAGAGTCAAATGCGGCAGAATCCGGTTCGTTTGGCCGCCTGAAAGGTAAAGATGACGCCTCTTTGACTGATGTTCCTGACGGCCAAGATGAAGCTGCTGCACCAGTTCTTCGTTGGTGAGCACAAGTGTATAGGGTGGGTGTGCATCGGAGGATGATCGAATACGCCGCACTGCAACGGACTTGACGTCCGGCCATTGGTATGTGCCCCGAGCAGCGGCGTTAGGGTCGGTTTCAGGGATCCGCTGACGCCATGGGCGTGACTGGGTCGACTGTGAGAGCCCAAATAAATTGCGGGAACGCATCGTCCTGGGGCGCGGTGCGAGATAGTTAGGCGCGAATTGTTTCGTGCACAAATCTAGCGGCTGACAGCAAAATGCGCGGCGGGGATCGATACATACGACCGGCCCTTGCGCCATGGCCAGCATGATATCATGAAACCAGTTGCATCGCTGGTCCACCTCATCCTCCGTCAAGCCGTCGGATGTTTCGCTCGGGGAGTGCGAGCAGAAGGCACCCTGAGGAAAGCGGAGGTCGAGGTGCTCCAGCTTTGGGCATTGAAGGACAACATTGCCCAGTGCACGCAGGTGCTCTCCAAAATCGTTCTCGTGGTCGTAAAATTGGACTGCGAGGCGAGTGACGGTAGGTGGGAAGAAAAGTGAAGCGCCCATTACAGTGTTGAGGGCTAGAATCAGGGGGGACGCGATCTCCAGCTTCCCTGTTATGAGAGACTCTCTTGGGACCCCGCGTGTGACCAGATACATCATTCCAGCGAGTTCATTGAACACGCGGCAGACCGCCGCTGCGGCCCTGAATCCTTCGGCGTCGATGTAGTAGAATATGTTCTCCCATATTTCCTTGGGTAACGCTGCTGTGGTTGGTGGAGGAGATAGAATGTTTGGCTGCGCAGTCGTTAACGAGGAGGAATGTAAGTCGAGACTCGAGGAATCATCTTTAGATAGTCGGTTACCTTTATATCCGAGGCCCTTCCTCGTGGATCGCCGCCATACAGAATTTTCAACGGGGAGCGGATAGCTCGCGAGAGGCGGAAGGAGGCGGTCATGGTGGGGTCCAGAAGGAATGCAGCGCTGTGGCCACCCGTCTGTGCTTATAAGTATAGAACTTCCCATCACGGGGCTGTGTATCTTATTGTTCCGAATACAATTAGCCTTCCTGTTCCTTCAGTCGATAAGGGAGATTGAACGTCGATAAGATGTGAAGCAAGCGTACAGATAGCTCTTGTCTTGCGGAGAAAGCTTGGATCATTGGAATATTGAGTGCTGAATCATCTCCGCTCCTGGCAAGGTGCCGGGCGCGGCATGTTGCCGCGGCCCGAAATGCCGCCATTGGCGGGGAATTATTGTTTTGGCCCCAAAGGTCGGGCTGGAGAGAAAACAACTGGAACTAGATCAAGGAAAGCATTGAGGCGGGCACTTGCGTTTCGTGTAAGGATGAAAAAACAAGTCTTACGCAGAAGATTTTTTTTTTGGCCCGTGGAGGAATATTGAGGAGATTCAGGAATAAAGTTCGTCCGTTTTGTTGCCTCGTCGAGCCTTGCATCGACACAAACCGCCCCATTCAGATCCAACAAGTACCTCGGCTCGGTTGCGGAGGTACTTGCTCAGAATCAGTTGTCATGATGCTTGTGCCATCGCAGGACATGCCCGTTCGACTTGGGCCCGGGCCATACGCCTTGTTGAAGGACATATTTTTTGAATCGACGCGGTTGGGAGATGTCCAAGAGAATAGGTTAAATTTGTTGAGCCTTGTGCAACAGACTGAACACATACATTTCGGTACCTACGTGCCCTGTCGCTGGCTCGGTCGCGGGAGGTCCGCACCT